TCCTTTTTGGAGGCGGGGAAGGAGAGTATCTTCTCTGAATGGGAGGAGAGTATCTTCTTGGAGAAGGCGAGCGGCGGCGTGGAGGAGGAGAAGGAGTCCTTCGTCGCGGTGGTGGGGTGGGAGATCTGCGCCGCAGAGGAGGAGGGGGAGGAGGAGGAGGAGCTGGAGAAGGAGATCTTCGCCTTCTGGCTGGTGGTGGGAAGGGACTTCTCCTCCTTCTACCACGAGGGGAAGTCTCCTTTTGGCGCTTCCGAGGTGATGGAGAGGCACTCCGAGAAGGGGAATGTCTCCGCCGTCTGCCTACCTCACCATTCTTCACATGGGATCTCTTGGGCCGCTCATCTTCTGAGGTGGAAGAGGAGCCAGAGTCAGACGATGACTGCTGGTTCTGTCGTCTGTACTGGCGCCTCTGCTGCACAGAATCAGCTGCAGCCATCTTGCTGCCTTTGTCTTCTTCAGACTCAGACAGCTCCACTTTTCTTGGCTTGGGTGCTGGTGACGGCGATTCTCTTTTCTCAGTACCTTTATGTTTTGTCACTTTACCCGAAGTTCTTCCTGGAGATGCAGAAACACAACTTTTTCTTGTGCGGTTCAACTGCTGGGGGGTTGGAGAATGGCGAGTTTTGGGTGGTGGAGTTGCTGGAGACGATGGCCTGTGCCTTCGCCTTGGAGGACTTGCTGAAGGAGATAACCTACGAGTTTTTCTAGGGGGGCTAGATGTCCTCTTGGGAGGCTTCTTTGGCGGTGACCGGGAAAGAGATGAAGAGGACGAAGAGCTACTTCCAGACAACGATGCGGAAGAACGCCTCCTTCGTCTCCCTGGAGACCTACTCCTCCTGTGCCTTGGTGGAGGAGGCAGCCGTCTTGGCGGAGTTCTTCTTCGAGGGGATGGTCGCCTTCTTGGGCTTGGCCGCCTTCTAGGAGAGTATGATCTGGATCGGGATCGATGTCGTCGTCTTGGTCTAGTATGAGAAGGTGATCGAGAACGGGTCCGAGATCGTGACTTGGAACGTGATCGAGATCTTGGTCGGGTCTTTTCCTTTTCCTTTTTGGAATTTTTTTCTGGAGAAGGTTCTTTGGGCTCTGGTACAGGCT